ACTTACCACAGAGCCCTCTAGAGAGGAGTGGCCAAGAAACCAGAGTCAAGCATCCTGGGCTCCAGAGGTGACCGGCCTTTCGATTAAAGGCCTAGTAGGTTCTCTGGTATGGTCCCACATTTAGAGAGAGACTGAGTGACAGATAACCCTTAGCGAGTAGTTCACTCACCAAAATGTAGAAGAGTGGAGGTGGATGCAGAGGCCAGCAATGGTATTGATGCGCTGTGCCCACAGCAGACTGGTTTGCAAAAGGCCTTCAGAACTGTGGGTATTCCTTAGAGCAAAAAAGGAAAAAACAAAAGAAAAAATGGAGAGGAATCCCACCTATTCTGACTTTAAGCCCTTCCCAGGTTCAAATGGCACCATTTATGTCAGGTTTTTAAAGAGAGGCCAAGTAAGAACAGCACATGGTATTCAGGTAAGGGGTAGGTTTATTCATGGTTCCCGCTGGCACCAGGCCATGTTGGCACTCCACGCGGCTGGGAGAGACCTGGGAAAGACCTGGGAAAGAGGGTGTGTGGGTCTGGACTAGCCCTTATCTAGGGTATGGGTGGAGAAAAGTGTGGCCACATCAAATTCAGATGTGACCTCAGCAGATGCAGATGTGACCTCTTCCAGGTGTGTCAGTTGCCTAGGTAATGCATGTACTGGGCGGAGATCTTGCTTTGAGGAGGGTAGAGTCTGCTCACCTTCCAGGAGTGGACCTTATAATAAGGAGTGATGTAAATCACAGCCAACTTAACTACCAACTTCATTTACTTTGCAAAGGAAACCATCTTTTCTAACTCCTTTCCTAAGGCCTTTAAAGCTGCCTGTTTATTCTTTGGTTTGTCATCAGGTCTCAAAATTTTTAAAGAAACTCAGCTTCAATCACAGCTTCCATTAACAAAGATTTTTTTAGCAAGCAGAATACTTGGTAACTTTGAAACCATAATCGTTTACATATGTTACGTATAGACCAATAGACAGACAGACATGTTTGTGCACAGATCATAAAGCACGCTTAGACTTTAAAATTGGCTGTTCAAGTATTTTTAATTTTAGCAATATTATTTTGTTTAATTATGATGGAACCACATGGTCAGTTTAAAACAGGCTTGATATGGCCTGGCATAACGGTGCCTGGGCTGGTCAGGTGAGGGGGGATTCACAGAACCAAGTTGAGTGGCGTGAAATCAAGGTGGCATGAATGGTGCATGCACCACATGGCCAGTGCTAGACAGAACTCAAGCTTTAACAGAATTTAACAATCTCCATGCTTAACAAGAAAACCTTTTAGCTAAAGTTCCTCTTTAAAACAATGCAGTAATCTTTTGAAACTTTTGGTAACATTTAAACCTCCATTTTTTTACATCGTGATGACAGTTTTAACAAGTTTATACTTCTTGTGTGCAAAGATATTAAAGTATGCAGAATGAATACCAGCCTACATTTTCCTGAAATTTTAGTGGCAAGATATATATATATATATATATATTTTTTATTTTTATTTTTTTGCCAATCTCACTAATATAAACTTTTAACCAAATTACTCTGGCTAGGCAAAAATTTTCCAGGGCTTGCTTGCTAGCAGGTATATTAGCATAGCAAGTACTTTTTGTTGAAGAACATGGAAGTTAAATTCATCTGACTCCCCCCCCCCCCCCACCTTTAGTTGGAAGAAGGGAGAGCTAATTTTAGCCCTTATTAGCAAGGGAGACTGGGAGAGGAAAGGGGAGAGGAGAAGGGAGAGGGGGAGGGGGAGGGGGAGGGAGAGGAAAGGGGGAGGGGAAGGGGGAGGGAGTTTTATCTGCCTGAGTGCTCACAGGAGTGGAGTTTTAAATTGGGGGCCAAAGTTGACTGCGAAGAAATTTAGTTGTGTCCTTTCCATGGTAAGTGACCTGGAACTAAAAGCTGCTTTTGGTTTTACAACAGGCCAATTGAGGAAGTCCCCCATTCCTGGTTCCCTCAACCACAGGACACCACAGTGGTGAGATCCAGGTACTTGGCCAAGATTTTGCTCAGATGGGGGGTGGAGGTGGGGGATTGGGGGTGGGGGGGTGGGGGGGAGGTGGGGCTCAGTAGCCCAAGGCCCAGGTGACCTTACTATGGAAATCAGAAACCCATATCTCCAGTCAACTGGTCCTTACCTGGGGGTAGGACTTAACTAGCCGGTGTTGGATGGGCAGCAGGTAGAGTGCTCAGTCAATGAGAAAATTCCATTGGTGTTCCTCTGGCGACAGGAGTGTAGGACCACAGGCTAGGTCCTGGGGCAGTTGGTGGGACCCCCATCCAAAGTGGAGGGTGGAGTAAATCCACTGGGGAATCTATCCCAGGTTTTGACACCAAATGAAAAGATCCTTCACATCCATTCCAGGGGACCACCCAAAGGCAAGCAGGCACAAGACAAAGATTATTAGAAGATTTATTAGAGGGGCCATATTTCCCAGGAGAGGGAACACATAGAACCTGTCCCTATCCAGGTAGCAGGAGGGTCTGGGGAGCAGGAAGTGAGGCAGGTGCATGCTCAGGTGGGTCTGGGCAAAGAGGGGGAGTGGTCAGCTGTGTGGCAGGAACTCCAGGGCAGGGAGACGCTCAGGTCTGGGTGGAGCTGAGGGCCAAAGGTGGGCATAATACTAACACTGAACAGCCTTATCAGCACTTGCTATGATGAATATTTTTAATTTTTACTATCCTAATAAGTATACAAAGGCATTTCATTGTACTTTACATTTGTATTTCCCTCTTGATGACTGTTATCTCTTTAAGTGCTTGTTTTCCAATTGAGAACACACACACACACACACACACACACACACACACACACATCCATTTAAGTTAGTTGTTTATGACTGAAATTTGTGTTCTCTATAAATTCCAGATGGGAGGTCTGAAAGAGGCTATGTGGCTAGCAAATTTTCATCATCATTTCATGACTCAGCTTTTGATATTCTCAACATTTTTTTGAAAATTGGTTCATTTTGATAAAATGCAAATTTTCACAAACAATCTATTTATAAATGTGCTCTCATGTGACAAAGAAAAAGTCATTTTCTTTTTCTTTTAGACTTTTTGCTATCCTTAAGCAAATGTACAAAGAAGTTTCAATTCAACATGTCAGCTTGTGCGAACAATGGATCTTGATTAAAGTCATCCTTTTATCATTTACCTATTCCATTTTCACATATGTACATTGAATATTATGACATATAAAAAATAATTACCTAATCAGGGTCACAGAGTTTGTTTCCTCTGAAAGTTTTATAGTTACAGTGTGTGTGTGTGTGTGTGTGTGTGTGTGTGTTTATGTGTGTGTGTGTCTGTGTGTCTGTGTGTTTATGTGTATGTACTAGAGCTTGAACTCAGGGAGTCATGATCTCATTTGGCTTTGTCATTCAAAGCTTTTTATCCTCTACCATTTTAGCCACAAAGCTTTTGGTTTTATGCTGGACAATTGGAGATAAGAGTGTCATGGACTTTTCTCTCCAGGCTGGCTTTGAATCATGATGCTCAAATCTTAGCGTCCTGGGTAGCTAAGATTACCAGCCTGAGCCACCAGAGCCAGGCTATAGTTAAAGTATTTTTAATTTTTCTTTATTTTTTTATTGTAAAAGTGATGCACAGAGAGTTTACAGTTATATATGTCAGGCAATTAGTACTTTTTTTTTTAACAGTGTCACCCTCTCCCTCACTTTCTCCTAGTTTTATACTCCCAACTCCTCTCCCCCAAAATTTGTATAGTTTATTTCCAATGTGTGGCTCATGCATATCACTGTTAAATTGGTTCACTCTTTGTCCCACCATTTCTAGGCTTCCCCATCTCCTCCTCAAATCAGATAAACATATACAAGACAAAGGGTACTGAAATAAAAAACAGTGACAAAAAGGAAATAAGCCAAAGAAAAAAATTTTATTGTGAAAATACTGTACAGAGGGGTTACAATTACGTGGGCAAGATAATGAGTACATTTCTTATCAAGCATTGTAGCCTCCTCCTTTGTTTCCCCTTCCTATCTCTTTCCCCCACACACCATTCCACTACCACCACCACCATCCCCTCCCCCCCCACCTAAGTTGAAGAGTTCGATTTTTGACGTAATGTCTTGTACATCCACTGTTGCAATGGGTCCACCTGTATCCCTATTTAAACAATTTGTTTTTTCCCTTCCCCTCCACAATTATACCAGCATCAAATACAGTGAAAGCAGGGGTTATACCATGGGGGAAGGACATGCAAAGCAACAAAGAAATCATCTTATAAATATGTTAGAAACAATCACAAGAAAGAAGAAACATTTGAATCCTTAACTTAGGGTTCATTTCGCCTAACGTCAACTTAGAAAAAAAAATTTTTTAAGTACCTCAAACAGTAAAATTAAAAACCCCTCTTGTTTCCATTCCTTAAAGCTCATTTAGATAAACATCATTTTATATGATCATATGCACGTTGCTATTGAGCCTTTGTGATCATCTCCTAAGAATATCCTCCTTTGGTCTCACTATGTGAATGTTTCAGATATAGGCTTATATATGTAATAGTTTTCAAATCACTATCAATTGTTCCAATACTATTTGCAGAAAATTATTCTTCATGGTTTTGTCTTCATAAATTTGTACAAAAAAATAAACACAATAGAATTGTATGTGTGGAGCTGCTTGCCATCCATTTTCCCATAGGTCTACCTTTTTTTTTCCAACATCACAAAGTCATCTTATTATTTACATCACCTTTAAAATATTTAATCATTGGTCTAGATCGAGCTATCTATCTATCTATCTATCTATCTATCTATCTATCTATCCTACTGCTGCTATATATTTTATTTTAATTTTTTTTTTGTAGGTTGTGGGGCTTGAACTCTGGGCTTGGGTACTGTCCCTGTGCTCTTGAGCTCAAGGCGAACCCAATACTGCTTGAGCCACAGTGCCACTTCCGGTTTTCTAGTGGTTTATTGAGTCTCAATGACTTTCCTGCCCGGGCTGGCTTTGAACTGTGATCCTCAGATTTCAGCCTCCTAAGTAGCTAGGATTACAGGCATGAAACACCAGCACCTGGCTATATATTTTATTTTTAAATAGTCTATAATCAGACAATTCATTGCTGATAACTTTATTTGAGGCCAGGAATGGGCAAACTGACACTGGGTCCAGTTTTTCCTGTTGCTTATTTTTGTATAGCGTACAACACATTTTTGAATAGGCAAAAAAACTTGAGCTTATTTTTTTAATATTTGGAGAAAGTCAAAGGGATAACCTTATGTGACACATGAAAATCAAATGCATTTTAAATTTTGGTGTTTATAGTTTTGTTGGGACACAAACATTGTGATTTCATTTATAGATTGCCTGTGGCCTTGTGGGAGAAGAGCGTGTACTTTCTGCTCTCAGGTAATACCATCTGCTTGAACAGACTTCATCAGGGATTTGTCAACAAAATACTGCCTGGAGGAGTAGGCTTCAATTGGTCTTCTTCATCTCATTTTCCTTGTTTATTTTAGCCTTTATAACCTGGATAGAGAAAAACACAAACAGACACAGCTGATCAATTCCCATCTCTTCTGCTTACAATGAGTATGTGAACCTTTGTTATATAACCTCCTTCCCCTCTTTATACTACATTATTCATTCTTAGATCACTCCCTCAAATCATGTCTGCTCTGAGATACCCATTCCTACTTAACCAGGGCACATAGGCAGATCCTTCAAGTCTCCACACCATTCTTACAAAGAGAGAAGAGAGAGAGAGACCCAGAGAGAGAGAGAGACAGAGACAGAGACAGAGAGACAGAACAAAGCTGAATCATAGGGCTGAGATGATTTGGCAGCAAAGTACCAGCAGTACTGTGGGCATGAGGGTGCAAGGGCCGCATAGGAGCCGGGACTGTGATAGATGAAGGGCTGGTTGGACTGGCTCAGAAATGTGTCTTCACAGAAATGTGACAATGGTCTGTCTATTTCAATGTACAACTGTCAGAAAGCTGTCTGCAGTATATCCATGGTGTTTGTAAGATTTCTTCATGAGGCTCTGTGAGAACAAGTGTGTGTGTGTGTGTGTGTGTGTGTGTGTGTGTGTGTGTGTGTGTGTGTGTGTGTGTGTGTTCCTTGTATAGAGGATGTCATCTTAATTGTGTCCAGGCTGTATATTTTCTATAAGGGAGGCTCCTAGTTCTGTGAGATTATAATAAGCACAATTACATTTGGTATAAATATATCAGGAAGATCCTGATATTTCCTGATCAGAAAGTACCTATTTCTTTTGAGAGAAAATACAAAAGTCATCCCATTGAAGAATTGGCTTTCTTCCATGCAGTTCCTACCGTAATTTGGCTATGAGCTCCAGATATCAACTGTAGATTTCTTCTATATTTTGACAGCTCAAAGAATGTAAGTCTGAGCTTATCTCCTTTCTCACATTTTATTTTGTTCTGACTTTTAAGCACCAATACGTTCATAGTGCCTGTGTCATCGTTGAGGCCAAATAATGTACCATTTTCTTTTTCTGTTTTCTGTAGAAGAAAAACAATACTCAGTCTCTGATAAGCTGATTAAGGAAAATCATATTAAGCAGCTATTAAGATGTGCCGGAAGCAGCCTCTAAAAAAATATATAAGGAAAAATTCTAACTTCAAAACTAGCAGTCTGCCAGATACATGGCAATTCAGATAAAAGAGGTAGATGTGTCTTACTGAGAATTTGCTGCTTCTTATGTCCATCTTCCTCATCCCAATCTCCCTTCTTTTGGGAGACCAACCCCTAGAGGGATAGAGAAGTTGAAGATTCTCTAGAGCCAGTGACCAGAAGACAGAAGAAAGAAAGAGTCTGGAGGTTAGAAGTGACTCATTTAAAGTATTAAGTCCAGGAGAGACATAAGCCCATGAAGACCAAGAAAAGAACCTAATTAAGAGTAAGTAATTGAAGAAAAAAATCATCTTTGATTAATTCTGGGTCAAAAGGAAACAGGATGTACATTGGTTACTTGGAAGAGTCTGGCAATATTTGAGATTTAAAAAGACTTTTTGGACTAAATGAACCCATATTAGTGGATGGTTGGCTAAACAGAAAGCTCAGAACAGAGAAAGAATGATGATTTCCTATCATTTTATACTTCCATTTTATAGGATATCTCTTGCCTATCAGCTCCTCTGAAACTAACCCAGATCAGGCCCTGAGTGTAATTAATGGGGTCTTTCTTTGTGGCTTTTCAGGTCTTGACCTAGCCTGTGCTGACACATGGCTAGTACCTAGATTCTCTCCATGCTTCCTCATTTCTAGTAAATTTCTTCACACTAACTCTTGTATTTCCTTCTGGAAGTCGCTTCTTTAACCTAGCCTTGCTTATTAATCTTCCATGCCAATTAAACCCAAAACCTTGGTTTATTACTCAATGAAGGTTTTCTTTTTTGAATTTATAATGATAATCATTTAAAATACAGACGGTATGTATAAAACACAAAAACAACACTGTAGATAAAATTTATGGCAATCCTTTTTCAGGATCTACAGCATAAAAAGAAATTTCAATATGGGCCATTCCTAGTGGTTCATGTCTGTAATCCTAGTTACTTCAGAGGTAGAGATTATGGGATTCACATTTAATACTAGTCTAGGCAAAAAGCCAGCAAGATGCTCCCATCTCAACAAATGAACCAGAAAGTGGCAGTACATAGCTGTAATACTGACTACACAAGAGGGTATAGGAGGAGGATCACAGTTCATGGCCAACCCTAAGTAAAACACAAGAATGGATCTGAAAAATAACCAAAGAAAAAAAGGACTGGGAGCTTGGCTCAAGTGGTAGAGCACCTGCCTAGCAAGCAAGAGGCACCTGCCTAGCAAGCAAGAGGCCTTGAGCTCAAACCTAAGCACCACAGGAAAAGAAAGAAGGACAGAAGGAAGGAAGGACAGAAGGAAAGCAATGCTCAGAGTAGAGATTATGTTATTCTGATTAACAATATATAATTATAGATAGGATTTTACCTCCTGGACCATAAATACTCCATTCACAATTGTTCCAAGGGGCCGAGTTTGAAGATCCCTTATCTTGGGAGTTTCACCAGCTTTCCTAATTATGTTGTTTGGAACATTGACCTTTTGGTCAGCTTCAGCATCCAACACAACTGAAGAAGTATTCACCTCTAGGAAAGTATTGTGCCAATAATATTTTGATATTATTATTATTTTCTTTCGGCAGAATTTATCTGTAAGTCGTGTATCGAAGACTTTTACAAAGTAGAAATCTCTGTCGGTAGCCACTGTAGCATGAAACATCTCTTGCTGCCCCCTCTGGGTCTCAAACTTGAAGGGCTTCATTGCTTTCAGCACCATGACTGTCATCGGGCCTTCCTGCAAGCCTTCTTGCCTCACAGCTTCCTGCTGGGCTACCACCTGCTTCTGTTTAGGCTGGAGACAACAGAAGGAAGATGTGAGCTGTGACTCGAGCCTCCCGTCACTCAATGTCACACTTCAGGAAGCCAGGCAAAGACAGATGGAATCAGAAGGAAAGATGAAGAGAGGTTAGGAAGACATTTGAGACTTAGAATTATCTAGATTTTAGGAGGGGATTTAGAAGGACTACTTCAAGTCCAGAATTCAAATGAGGCAAGATAGCACGTTTTGGAGGCAGACTCCTTGAATCTGAACACTTGCTTTGCCATCTGATAGAATAATTTAATAGTCTGTGCAATATGACATGGTATATTATATTGCAATAATATATAATATACATGCTAGGTGAGGTAATATATTACAAATGATAACATATATTATTAATATGCATCAAATCCCTGAAACATTATTAAAGCACAGGGATTAAATGCTCTTTTAAAAAATCAATTATATTACAATGCACATTAATCTCTCCAATAATATCCTGTGTATGCATTTTAGTCTCGAATAGAGGTAAGGGATCTCAGTAGGCTGCATGGGGCTCATTAACTCTCTAGACATCCCTCTATGCCTAATAAAAAAGTGCACATGAAGATAAATTTGAGCGAAGGAAGGGATCTGGGAAAGGGATACTACAAATGAATGATGTGGGGGGGGGGTTATAATGGAGAATAAATGGCAACTTTATGAATTTTCCTTTAGAAATAATTAGCTATATACTAAGGTATATATGAGAAATTGTATCTTGTTATTTGTATTATATTTTGATACTTTTACTTCCAAATAATTGAAATGATTTAAATAGAAAAATGGAGATTAAAGAAATATTAGACTAGATTATGAGGCAAATATTAAACATGCTTTAGATTCTGTTATAACTGATCTAGTAAAGGACAGATCCTAAACATAGTATATAATCTGTTTATAGATAAATCATCAGATATGAGACACAAATACATTAGAAAGACGTTTAACAATGTCAAATATTATTTTCTTTAGATTATATAATTATAGATCATTTTATCCTCATCTTTTTTTCCCTCCTAAATTAAGAGCTATGAGACATGCCTTTTGTCTATTTTTGAAGCAAATAGTACTTCTTAAAAGGCAATTTACTGTGCAGAATAAAAGGGAACTATGAGGGAAAAACAAGTCTGTAAGCTGAATTGTGTTTCTGAATTGGATCTCTCCAGGGGAAATAGAATGTGGATTCAGGACACTGGAGGGGTAGAACAAGACTAAATTAGCACTGAAGCAGGGAAATGTCAACTTCACTGAGGCCCTGTGCAACATTCTCACTGAGGCTGAGAGAATAACTATATCTAACTCCTTCACCTCACCTTGGTCAGTGCAGATATATAGAGAGCCTCCCCCTCATCCAAATTATGACAACTCCAGGGGACATTCTTAGCTCCTGGGTGACCATGGCATGGGCAGATGCTTTCATTGCAAATGCATTGAACTTGAAAGTCCTTCTATCCTCCTACTTCTTTTACTTCCTCAGGGGTAGTAATCCTGACAGTTCTCTAAACTGTATTTCCGGAAAACAACAGGTCATGTCAGAGTTTTCTTCTAATCAAATAGAACCCAGATGTAATGATGTGATACTATGTTGGGGCCATGGCAGAGATTCCATAGGAGTTTGCCCATGATTTGGAGTTCATTTTTTTCCTTCTAAATTAGTCTAAATTAGTCAGGTTATGGGGTAGAATCTTGCTCGCATACTGTGAGATAAAGACCAGAAAGCCCTAATGGGCATAATGATAGGAACCAAGACTAGAGGATACTCTGCCAAGGACTAAGCCCACTCCACGCAGCTCCTCCTACCTTAGCTGGAGGAGAGACTGCTGGGGCAGCTGGTTGAGCAGTGGCCCCATCTCCACTGGCTACATGCTCAGCAGAACTTGTCTTAGTGTCACTTTTCTTCCTTACTAACTTCGTTTCATTTTTCTTTTCATTCTCGGTGTATCTTTTATCAACTGTTTGTTTAGAAAGAAAAATGACATATTAACCCAGAAGATATGAACAAGGGTGACCGAAAACTTAAAATGCTGTATCTCAAAGAACAAAACCATGATACCAGACAAAGGCCAGAACAGGAGTCCCAGACCTTCTCACAGGAATCCAACTAGCAGCTAGGCACAGACAAGAATCCATTGATAAATAACTCAGCATGAATCAGAGACACCGTTCAGGGCCACAGAATGAAGACAGCTACTAGCTAGGAGGTAATAGGAATGTTTTGCTTTTGTTCGTCATCTGACAGAGCTGACACAGTGTCACACAGGGACAATTCTCTTGGGCCCACAGTTCCCACATTAAGCAGGGAGAGCTGAAGGTGAACATTTCAGCTTCACATGCTGAGGTATTTTGGAGGATTATTTATGTTTTTCCCCATGAGAAACATTAAACAGACTAGCAGGGCCAGACCACTGGGGATCAGTTAGAAACAAAGAAAAAGTTCTGTCTTGGCTGGGCACAGGTGGCTTACTTCTATAATCCTAGCTACTCAGGAGGCTGAGATCTGAGATCCTGGTTTGAAGCCAGCCCAGGTAGAAAAGTTCCTGTGAGACTCCTATCTCCAATTATTCCCTCAAAAACTGGAAGTGGAACTGTGGCTCGAAGTGGTAGAGCATAATCCTTGAGCAAAATTGCTCAGGGACAGTGGCCAGGCCCTGAGTTCAAGCCAGAGAAAAAAGAAAAGAGACGAAAAGAAAAAGGCCAGCCTTAATGTGACTAGGGCACAGATCTTGGTGATTTTTTACGTTCTGGCCAATGGAGACTCCCAGCCCAAACGACTTCCCAATAGCATTGTGTTGTTAGAACGCATGATCAACAGGTTCCACGCTTGCTGGCATCAGATCCCTGGCCAAATCCCCACTCAGACTTCGTGCTCTGTTTATGGCTTGCCCAGTCTGGTAAGTAGGTGTATGTGTATGCCTATCAGTAGAGGGTATCCTCTGAACTTGGCTGACTGGTGACCCCACCCAACCTCAGAGCTCCTCTCCCTAAGGCTTTCGCAAGTAGAAAAGCAAGCTCACTTCCATCAATATTTTTGAAGGGTGGAGAAGTGATGTAACCTAGTTTTGGCACCCATCCTACAGGCTTTGCTTGGGGCCCTAGATAGGAAACAAGCTCAAGGGTGTACATTTGTGTCGGGTATGCCTCCCATCCTGCTCAGGGTGAGTTGCCTAGCAGCAACCTCAAAGACCTTGACCCGCTTCAGAACCCAGTGTGCAGCTCATCCACAATACAGATTCCATACAGAAGTAGTGTCCATCCAGGGACTGCAGTCCACAGCTCTGTCCAATGAAAGATGATCAAAGAGCCCAGTCAACATCAGCACGTGGTTGTAGTATCCAGCCAGGGATTTCACTGGACCATAGAGCAAGCAACCACATTCAACCTTGGAGCAGAGTCAATAGCCCAGCCCAACTTTAGAACCTGACAGAAAAGTATTTACCTAAGGTTGATTTCAGATGGTTCCTACAAAATGTCCACCTGGGCTAAATAGTGACTATCCTATCCTGGCCATAAAGCACTTATAAAGGCCTGGATAGGCCAGAAAAAGTCATTGCTTTCTCAGTTGAGCAGATACCAATGCAAGGGTATGAAGACCACAAAGCATCAGGGAAATAAATAGAACACTACTAAAAAAATAGGTGTATGTTCACATGGAAACCTGATGGACAGGTTTGGACTAAATTTAGACTCGGGAAAATGTCCTGTATTTCCCTCATTGAGGTTTACCACAAAGTTTCTCATCTGTGCTCCTGGGTGTCTTTAAAATGAAAATAGACCTTAAAGAAACAGACATCTATGATTTGAATTTTTTAAAAAAAGAATTCAGAATAAATGCCTTAAAGATGACAGGAGAACTACATGAAAATATAAACCATGTAAAGAAATTTGGAAAGTGATTCTCAACCAAAGTGAGAAGTGTGACAAGAACATAAAAATAATACTTTAAATAAAACAGAAACTCTAGAGCATACAGACGCTGACCTGGAAAATTCAGTAGTAAGATACAAGCTCAGATCAAAAGATAAAACATAGTTAAGTGATTTACAAGACAAATAAACAAAGAATAAGCAACTACATGCTGACTACAAAATGCTTACTTTCTTACAGGGTAGAAATATACAAAAAGTGAAGGGATAGAAAAGATATTTTATGCAAATATGTTAGAAAAGAGCAAAATCTATACTTCTATCAGGCTTTAAAACACTGAGCAAAGAAGCAATTCCTGTAACTATAAACCCATAAATGAGTCAATAAATCAAACAACATAACAACTATGACTATATATTCATCCCCTAGTAGAATATATATATGTATGTGTGCATATTAATATATATTATCATCTGAAGGGAGAAATAGACTGCAATATAATAATAGGAGACTTCAGTGCCATAGTTTCAACAATGGGTAAATCATCTAGATAGAAAATTGGTAAGGGAACATTAGGATTGATCTACCCTTTGGAATAAATGAACTTAACAGACATATATAGAGCATTCATCCAAGAAGATAATGCACAGTCTTCTCAAGTACACACAACACTTTCCAGAAAGGAGCACATTTTAGATCACAAAACAAATCTTAAAATGTATTGAATGTCTCAAGCATAACAACCTGAAACTAGAAGTCAATAACAAACAAACAAAAAAATGGGAAATTTACAAATAGATAGAAGTTAAATGACATGTTCTTGAAAATGAATAGCATAACCAAAATTTAAATTTAACTCCCTGCTTCATGACCAGAACCTTGATAATTATTAAGAATCAGTCAAGCTAGATACTGGTGGCTCACACCTATAGTGAACTGAGGATTGCAGCCCAAAGCTGCAGAAAAGTCTAGGCAGAAAAATCCATGAAACTCTTCCTTCAAATTAACCACCAAAAAGCTGAAAATAGACCTGTGGTTCAACTGGTAGAGCACTAGCCTTGGCAAAAAAGCTAAGTGACTGCACCCAAGTCCTGAGCTCAAGTTCCCCATACCAGAACAAAACAATAATAAAATAGAATAAAATGAAACTAACCTTCCCACGGTAAGTTAGTTCTATAAGGTTACTTTCAGAGCAGTACAGAGATTAAAATGTCCTTTCTATATTGAAACAAAATAAGCTAAAGGAGGCAAAGAGATTTTACCACATCATTCCATACCATCCCATCAACTAGTTCTTGTCTGGTAGAGAATGGTGCCAAGGGAATGTTTGGAAGAGAGTATCATCCTACCATAAATCCCTTAATAATCAGATGCATAATTTCTTTTGCTTTTTGATTTATCATCCCAATTATTTTAACTTTACAGGACATTCACAGACTTTGATCAGATTCTCTTAGCTTCCTTCTTGGCTTGCCTCTGGGCCTTAATATTTTTATATCTTCCTACAGCAGCCTCTCTCATGTACTGACCATTGACTCTGTTGTAATTAAAGATTCCTTCAGATTTCTCCCAAAATTCATGAGAAGAGCAGCATGCAAACATACATGAGAAAAGGAATTTGCATCAAAAATCCAAGATGAAACTTAAACAAAACAAAACAAAAACTGATTTCTTAGGAAATAGCTAGGAGGACCATGGCACAAATAAACTTGCTAAATACCAAGAAGGCTTCAAAATAACGTTGGGTGGGATTTTCATTTCTTGTACAGCATACAAAGCTTGATGAGTGCCCAATCTGGTCCTAACACTGAATCACTTTTAGTTAATCAGCATGATTAAATTCTAGAATCATTAGAATAGCAAAATGGAAGAAAGATTTCACTCAGGGAAACTTGGTATTAGTCAGAAGCAGGGAGGAGGAGGGGAAGAGGAGGGAGAGAAACGGAAGGAGGGAGAGGAAGAAGGGAGTGAGGGGATAAGGAAGGTGAGAGAGAGGGGGAGGGGGAGGAGGAAATCTTATTTAAGAAATTCCTGAGAATCTTAAGCCTGTTTGCCAACACTCCTAGATAAAACTTAGAATAATTATGTGTAGTTACTGACACTCTGTGGCCAGATCTAGGAAGTACATCTTCTAACTTCTCCCTAAGCCAATGAAAATAGTGCTTAGCACTTAAGTCTGAGGTAAGTACTTTGCATATTAAGCAATACTTAATATTTCTGTGAAATTATGTGCATATGTCTCCACTTAAATTATCTAGTTTGTCTTTAACTTTCTTAGAAATCACTTATGGGACTCTGTGTATTCGCATTGTATAAACACAAATACTCTGCAATAGTTATTATTATTTTGGACTTAAAATTATCTTTAAGTAGTTGTACAAAGGGGTTTTAATTCAGTCCAATTTATGAGTATAATGCACCTGGCGCACTGTCACTCCTGCCTTTACTGTTTCAGTTTTATTTAAAAATCTTAAGCCTATTTAAGTTGGAGTCTCTCACTTTGGGATTTCCTGGGGAAAGACATTATTTCCTTGGCTCTTTGTAGTGACTGTGATACAAAGCCAGGATATGTAGATTGTTCTTAGGGATAAAAAAAAAACCCCAGAAGCTTATGCAAAATGTAGATAATATGTTGAGATTGATCTGTGGTTGATAAAATAATGTAAAACATGGGCATCATGTCCTAGGAAACATATACTGTCATCTACATGGGAGATAAAGAGATATGGAGAAAATCCATGAACTGGAAGGCAAAGGTATTCCATGAAGAAAGGCAGGCTCTCTGGAACTGAGGCAGACTGGCACCGGAGGAAAGTAGGCAGTCTGTGAGGAGGCAAAGGTGCCTCCTACTCCAGGTTATGACTTTTCAGTGTCATAATTTCTTTGTGTAAGTGTGTGTGTGTTCCTAGGTTTCAAACTCAGAGTCCTGTGCTTGCTAGGTAGGTGCTCTACCACTTGTCCCACGCCCCCAGTCCATTTTGCTTTACTTAGTTTTCAGGTGGGAGGGTCTCACTTTTGTGCCTTGCTGGTCTCAACCATAATCCTTATACCTATGCTGTCCAGGTACTCGGGATAAAAGGCATGTGTAACAAGCACCAGGCCTAGCTGTTATATTTTACTTATTTTTTCTTTGTTTTTTTAAATGTTCTATAGAGAGTCCATCTGTGGAAAGTTTATGTTTGCATTAACATATATGTATAATAATAGGGAGATTCACTGTGGTATTTCCATACATGCAACACAGTGCAGTTTCAACAGCTTTTTCATTAAGATGGAGACTCAGTAATTTTTTGCACTTTCTAGTCTAAAGCAGTAATACTCCTGATTTCCACTTCCTGAGTAGCTGGAAATATAGGAAAGAGTCACCATGTTCAGCTCAGTGCTGTAATTTATTTGTGACCTTTTAAGTCTTTGGTGTATAAATGGTACCTTGAGCACTAACAATGCCAGTGGCCTGGAGACAAAGACCAGCCAAGAGAAGAGGTGACGAGATGGACAGTGAAGGCCTGAGGATGGGAACAGGTGGTGGAAACTAATATGGGTTTGTATCAAACACTTTCCCAGCCATTCCCAGTTAAGGCAGGCAAAGGAGCAGGTGACTCCCTTAGCAAACAAATTCCCACCCCTTGCACTGAGGATCTTATCCTGATGTCATGGGCAGTGGGATTCTCCCATATACCTTTCTCCTTTTCCTCCTGAAGACATTTTGCCAAGTTCATGCATTTCAACTTCTTGAGAATACTGATGGTCTTCGTCAGAGCAGACACTTCACCCTCACTCTGGATCATCAGTTTCACTAAGTTCGTCCTGTTTGCAGCCTCTAGTCTGCCCTTAGGGATGTTAAATTCATCCGGAAGGAAGAACTTAAACCTATCCAGTTCCTCATCGTCGAGATTATCCATGCCTTCGAGTAACAGAATTTTCTTGTATTCACTCTCCATCTCAAAGCTTTGGGGTCAACCTGGAAAAAATCCAAACTATGGGACACTGCACCACCTGAAAACAGTTTCACAAGCAAAATAATCATGGTGAATGGTTAGATGCATCTTTAGAGGGAAAACACACCATATGTTTGCAGTACATAAAGAAGATTTTTGTGAAACTTAAGAACACACTTTCTAGGCTCAGCAAGGATATCTTTGGAGGTTGGAGACAACACTTGGATGACAGAATAGGTCCATTCTCCTATCCTTGAAAGGTGGATTCGTGTGTTGAGGCATGTGACGTGCTACCCAGTGCCTGTATTCAAGCACACAATTTGGAAAATCTGACATATGTCTATAGTAAACAGTTTTTCATGGATCACATTCACATTTAGTTGTTTTTCCAAACTCAGTATCAGACTTTCTTCCACACTGATGTCTATAATTTCATAGTTTGGACTTTTAATATTCCTACTTCTGATCTATTTTTAGTTGTTTTGTATATGGTGTGAGGTGCAATTCTGACTTGATGTTTTTCGCAATGGATCTGCCCTTCTCATAAGCATGTGTTGCCAAAACAAGCCTTCCTCCACTTACTTGCCTTTGCACCAGTCTCATCAATCAGCTGTCCAGATATTAATGGGTCCACTTCTGGATTTTTTTTTCTGCTCCATTGGTCCTCATTCACCTGAAAATATGTGTTCTTAATGAGAAGATTCAATAAAATGAAGTAAGCACCAGGTCGAATTAATCCATGCAAAACTTCCAAGGGCTTTCCACAGAACTTCTCAGAATGAACCTAAAACCTGCTTGAAAGGATAAAGGCAAAAATGTGCAAAATAAGTCAAAATGTTTATTAAGAAATAGCATTCTTAGTAGATGTCAATACTTGTTATAAATTTAGAATAATTACAGCAATGTGACAATGGAATAGGATAAGGTCAACTAATAAAATGTGGAAATAGTACATATTAAAAACATGGTATAAGCCAGGCACCAGTGGCTCACACCTGTAATTCTAGCTACTCAGGAGGCTAAGATCTGAGGATCCCTGTTCAAAGTCAGCCTGGGCAGGGAAGTCCCCATGAGACTCTTATCTCCAATTAACCACTCAAAAACTTGAAGTGGTGCTGTTGCTCAAAGTGGTAGAGCACAAGCCTTGAGCAAAAAAGAGCTCAGGGACAGCGCCCAGGCCCTGAGTTCAAGTCCCACACTGATCAAATAACAAACAAACAAATGAAAACACATGGTGTATAGCAGGCCACCAGTAGCTCATGCCTGTAATCCTAACTATTCAAAGCCAGCCTGGGCAGTAAAGTTCATGAGAGTCTTATCTCCAGTAAACTACTCAGAAAAAGCCAGAAGTGGTACTATGGCTCAAATGGTAGAACACTGGCCTTGAGCACAGAAAGGCTCAAGGACAGAGCCCTGAGTTCAAGCCCTAAGACAGGCAAACAAAACATGGTGTATAGTCCAAGTGACACTGTAAATCACAAGGGAAACATAGGTACTTATGAGAGTGTTCAGAAAAATAGATGGAAAATGTTGTATCTTTATCTCAGAGCATACATAAGATATATGTTTATGGGGATTAAATATCAAAGTAAATAAGACTGGGCACCAGCTCGTGCCTATAATCCTAGGTACTGTGCAGGCTGAGATCTGAGGATCATAGTTTGAAGCAAACCTGGACAGGAAAGTCCATGAGACTCTCATCACCAATTAAGCACTGGGTCTGTACCCAGACACAGTCCAAGCTCCAAGACTAGCACACACACACACACACACACACACACACACACACACACACACACACACACACACACACACACACACACACATACACACACACAGTAAAGTTGCTGAAGAAAAAATGGAGAACTTCTCATATGGAGTGAAAGGGAAGTTTATTTTACTGTATTTTTATTAGCACATATTAATTGTACATGTGTGAAATTTCATTGTCATGTTTCCATACATACTTAGAATACACTCTGATCATATTTACCCCTCTATTACTAATTCTTATCCCATATTCCCATGCACCTCCTTTCTTGTCATTGTAAAACATTAGTTTATAGCCTTTCCATACAAGCATACAGCATACTTCAGTCATGTTTTCCCCCTCCTTCTCTCTTTCCTGCCTCCCAACTTTTGTGGGTTCACCTGAAGTAGGCCTGAATTTACATTCATGTCCATTCGTTTCTTTAAGATCTAGCTTCCACATGCACTTAAAAATATGTGATATTTATCTTTCTGAGTCCAGCTTAATTTGATTCTTGTGATGTTTTCCAGTTTTATCTATGTTCCTACAAATGTTTTATTCTTCTCTATGGTTGAATATTACTTCTTAGTCTGTATATAGTATACTTTCTATATCCATCCATCTGTTGATATGCAATTTGGCTGATTTCATAACTTGCCTCTTGTGAATAGACCTGCAATAAACATGGTTTCACAGATTATCTGTATTTTGTGCTGAATTTTATTCCTTCACATATATGCCTATGAAGGGTAGGTTATATGGTAGTTCTATTTTACTTTTCTTGAGGAACCTCCATACTGCTTTCCATGGTGGCTGCACTAATTTGCATTCCCATCAAAAGTGCATTTGTTTCCTTGATGTCTATCAGTCTCATTGGGGCAAGATGAAATCTCAGTGCAATTTCAATTTGCTTAAGAATGTTGATCAGTTCCTCATGAGATCATTTGCCATTCATCATAATTCTTTTAAGAAGTATGTCTGTTCATTTCCCATTTATGAGTCGCACAATTTTTATTTTGTTTAATTTTTGAGCTCTATAAATTCTGGATATTAACTCACTGCCATCTTTTCATTCTGGTCATTGTTTTCCTTGACGTGCAAGAGGCAATTGCTTCCTTTGAAGCAATGCCATTTGTCAATGCTTGCTCTTTTCCCGATGTATTGGAGCTCTATGCATTGGAGTCATTGCTTGTGTCTGTACCTGCCGGTGTTTTTCCTAAGTTTTCCTGTAGTAGTCTCAAAGGTTCAGGTCTTACATAAAAGTCTTTGATCCATTTTACATAGGTTTTTGTACAGGGCAAGAGATAGGGATTTACTTCAGTTTTCTACATGTAGATATTCCATTTTCCCAGCATTTGTTACAGAGGCTGTTTTCCACATATGTTTGGGGCACCTCTGATGGGAAATTGATGGTTATAGTGGTGTATGTTTATTTACGGAGTCTGTGTACCATTAGCCTATGTGCTGGATTTTGTGATGTGCTATTTTTATGACTATGGCTCTGTAGTACAAATTGAAGTCAGGCATTGTGATACTTGAAAGTATTGCTCTTCTTAACTCAGGATTGCTTCTGTTTCTGGGGTCTTTCATGCCTCTATATAAATCTTAGCATTTTCCTATCTATTTCTGTGAAAAATAACATTGTAACTTGATATGGGAATCTCTACTATAGCCATTTTCGTAATATTTCTGTTGATCTATTGACAAGAGAGGTCCTTCCATTGTCTAATGTCTTACTCAATTTCTTTTTTTTCAGTGCTTTATAGTTTTCATTGTAGAGGTCTGTCATCTCTTCGTGAAGTTTGTTCCAAAGTGTTTTTTTAAAGATTATAATGAATGACATTTCTCTATAATTTCTTTCTTGGCCTATTTGCTATTCATACATATAAAAGGTGTTGAGTTTTGTATCAACAACAGAAATTCTGCTTTTACTGAAGGTGTTTGTCAGCTCTAAGATGGTTCTGATGCCAAATCTAGGGTCTTTTTAGTTTAGGAAAATATCATCTGCAAAAGTTAATCATTTGTGTTCCTTTTATTTTTTCCCCCTTGTGTTATTACTCTGGCTAAAAATTTGAGTACCACATTAAGAGTAGGGAGAGTGGACAATTTTCTCTTATTCTTGACTTCAGGCCAAGTGTGTAAAGATTTATTCCAATTTAAAATGATTTTAGCTATAGGTTTGTCATAGTCATTATTTTTGTGTGTGTGCTGGTCTTGGATCTTGAACTCAGGGCCTGGAAGCTGTCCTGGAGATCAGTGTCCTACAACTTGAGCCACAGCACCAATCTAAGTTTTTTGGAAGTTTGTTGGAGATAAGAGTCTCATAGATTTTCCTACCTGTGCTGGCTTCAAACCATGATCTTCAGATAGCTAGGATCTTAGGCATAAGCTACCAGTACCCAGCTTACATAGCTGTTAGTTATGTTGAGGTATGCTTTGTCCATTTCTACAGGACATTTTTGTTGAGGTATGCTTTGTCCATTTCTTCTTTAGTTCATGAAGAGTGATTAAATATTATCAAATTAATTATTTGAGATCTCCAATTTTTAATATAAATGCTCATAGCTACAAACTTTTCTTTTAGAACTACCTTGTATCTCAAATGTGATACTTTTGTTTACATTTTTCATTCTAATTTAGTCTCCATATATTTCGAATATTTTCTGTAGCTTATTTGCCTGTTAATATCTACTTTTATTCCATTATTATCTGATAAAATACAGGAAGTTATACTGATTTTCTTCCATTTGTTAAGACTTGTTTTATGTTCTAAAGTATGATTTACTCTGGAAAAAGCTGAAAGGGCTTCTGAGGAGAATGTGCATTCTCTATTATGTTGAACATTTTGTAGATGTCTATTAAGTCCATTTTTATTCACTTTACTAAGCATTTCATTTCCAAAATTTTATTCAATTTTTTTTAGGATTTCTACACCTTTATTGAAGTATTCCTTTGTATCTTGCATTGTCTTCCTTATTTTGTTCAGCTGTTTATTTGTATTCTCTTTGAATTCATTTGGGTGTTTTTATGTGTCCTCTTTAATTTCATTGATCTTTTTAAATCAGTCTTTTGACTTGTTTGCTTGAGATTTCAACTTCACTGCCATTTGACTGTCTTTTTAAGATGTTGTTTTTCTGGAAAAGTAACGTTATCTTTTTTTCCTTCTTCATATTTCTTGTGCACCTGCACTGGGATCCCTGCTCCTTAAACTTCTCTGCAGACCTTCATCAGATCCTCCCCTGCTCCAAGTTCACCTTGTGTGGCCATCTCCACCAGACCCTGCAGGATGACCTCCCAGGACACCCTCGTCCTGATTGTTCTTTTTGTTTCAGACCTTGAAGTAGTTCAGTCTTAAACAAAAGGCTCCCTCTTAAGATAATTCCTTGTTATAGATCTTCTAAGATATGACGAGCAAAAACATACCTTCTCTTGTCTTCTCAGGAGAATTCACTGTCACATTAAACACTCACAATGGGTTTAAGGCTACTATTATAGGCATTTGCTAGTCTGTTTGTCACAAGGCTGCCTGGCTTACCTGTGGTAGAAGTTTCAGCTCCCCAGCCCTGCCTTCCCTCCTTGCAAGAAGCTGAGGATGAAGCTGCACATTCTTTTTAAATTTGCCTTTTGTTACCATTCTCCTTCTTCATACTTTTCAGTTCTTCAATCTCTTGTAGTTTGCAATGATCCTACCTCACCCCTTCCTCTCTTCAGAATATAGTCTCTCCTTGTTACTTTGACTCTTCTCTTTCACAGGGTCAAATGGAGAAAGCTTCTACTCAGCCATCTTGCCTGGACTTTTTGCAAGCTTCTCAAATAGTACACAAAAAGACATGTCAGAGAGGAGAATTATGTCAAACTTGAGTGTGTACATGTTCTAAATGTTTTTGTAGAAAATGCACACACAGTAAATAGAGGAAAATACAAGTTAAAATCTGAGAAAATACTGTCTATAACTAATAGAGGATTTTCTTTCAGAATATACAGAACATGGTGTATCAGTAAGAAAAACACAAATGATTTTGTAAAAGCTGGACAAAAAAT